AGCCTCCTATGATCAAAACCAAAAATGCTTTAAATTGCATTATTATAAATGATAAAGAATGCTAATATAGATATATAATTGATATTTTTTTGAAAATAGCCTACTATGATCACAATCAAAAATGCTTTAAATTGCAATTTAAAACATATCTAGGTATTATAAATGATAAAGAATGCTAATATAGATATAAAATCGATATTTTTTTTTAAAGGGCCTACGATGATCAAAACCAAAAATGCTTTAAATTGCATTTTAAAACATTTCTAGGTATTATAAACGATATAGAATGCTAATATAGATATAAAATCGATATTTTTTTTGAAAATAGCCTACTATGATCGAAACCAAAAATGCTCTAAATTGAATTTTAAAACATATCTAGGTATTATAAATGGTGAAGAATGCTAATATAGATATAAAATCGATATTTTTTTTGAAAATAGCCTACTATGATCGAAATCAAAAATGCTTTAAATTGAATTTTAAAACATATCTAGGTATTATAAATGATAAAGAATGCTAATATAGATATAAAATCAATATTTTTTTTGAAAAGGGCCTACTATGATCGAAACCAAAAATGCTTTAAATTGCATTTTAAAACATTTCTAGGTATTATAAATGATAAAGAATGCTAATATAGATATAAAATCAATATTTTTTTTGAAAATAGCCTACTATGATCAAAACCAAAAATGCTTTAAATTGCATTTTAAAACATTTCCAGGTATTATAAATGATAAAGAATGCTAATGTAGATATAAAATCGATATTTTTTTTGAAAATAGCCTACTATGGTCAAAACCAAAAATGCTTTAAATAGCATTTTAAAACATATCTAGGTATTATAAATGATTAAGAATGTTAATATAGATATAAAATCGATATTTTTTTTTTTTGAAAATAGGCTACTATGATCAAAACTAAAAATGCTTTAAATTGCATTTTAAAACATTTCCAGGTATTATAAATGATAAAGAATGCTAATATAGATATAAAATCAATATTTTTTTTGAAAATAGCCTACTATGATCAAAACCAAAAATGCTTTAAATTGCATTTTAAAACATTTCCAGGTATTATAAATGATAAAGAATGCTAATATAGATATAAAATCGATATTTTTTTGAAAATAGCCTACTAAGATCGAAACCAAAAATGCTTTAAATTGCATTTTAAAACATATCTATGTATTATAATTGATAAAGAATGCTAATATAGATATAAAATCGATATTTTTTTTGATAATAGCCTACTATGATCAATACCAAAATTGCTTTAAATTGAATTTTAAAACATTTCTAGGTATTATAAATAATAAAAAATGCTAATGTTGATATAAAATCGATATTTTTTTTTGAAAATAGCCTCTTTCGATCGAAATCAAAAATGCTTTAAATTGCATTTTAAAACATATCTAGGTATTATAAATGATAAAGAATGCTAATAAAGATATAAAATCGATATTTTTTTTGAAAATAGCCTACTATGGTCAAAACCAAAAATGCTTTAAATTGCATTTTAAAACATTTCTAGGTATTATAAATGATAAAGAATGCTAATATAGATATAAAATCAATATTTTTTTTGAAAATAGCCTACTATGATCAAAACCAAAAATGCTTTAAATTGCATTTTAAAACATTTCCAGGTATTATAAATGATAAAGAATGCTAATATAGATATAAAATCGATATTTTTTTGAAAATAGCCTACTAAGATCGAAACCAAAAATGCTTTAAATTGCATTTTAAAACATATCTATGTATTATAATTGATAAAGAATGCTAATATAGATATAAAATCGATATTTTTTTTGATAATAGCCTACTATGATCAATACCAAAATTGCTTTAAATTGAATTTTAAAACATTTCTAGGTATTATAAATAATAAAAAATGCTAATGTTGATATAAAATCGATATTTTTTTTTGAAAATAGCCTCTTTCGATCGAAATCAAAAATGCTTTAAATTGCATTTTAAAACATATCTAGGTATTATAAATGATAAAGAATGCTAATAAAGATATAAAATCGATATTTTTTTTGAAAATAGCCTACTATGGTCAAAACCAAAAATGCTTTAAATAGCATTTTAAAACATATCTAGGTATTATAAATGATAAAGAATGCTAATATAGATATAAAATCCATATTTTTTTTTGAAAAAGGTCTACTATGATCAAAACCAAAAATGCTTTAAATTGCATTTTAAAACATATCTAGGTATTATAAATGATAAAGAATGCTAATGTAGATATAAAATCGATATTTTTTTTTAAAATAGCCTACTATGATCGAAATCAAAAATGCTTTAAATTGCATTTTAAAATATATCTAGGTATTATAAATGATAAAAAACGCTAATGATGATATAAAATCGATATTTTTTTTGAAAATAGCCTACTATGGTCAAAACCAAAAATGCTTCAAATTGCATTTTAAAACATATCTAGGTATTATAAATGATAAAGAATGCTAATATAGATATAAAATCAGTATTTTTTTTGAAAAAAGTCTACTATGATCGAAATCAAAAATGCTTTAAATTGCATTTTAAAACATATCTAGGTATTATAAATGATAAATAATGCTAATGTAGATATAAAATCGATATTTTTTTTGAAAATAGCCTACTATGATCGAAACCAAAAATGCTTAAAATTGAATTTTAAAACATATCTAGGTATTATAAATGATAAAGAACGCTAATGTTGATATAAAATCGATATTTTTTTTTGAAAATAGCCTACTATGGTCAAAACCAAAAATGCTTTAAATTGCATTTTAAAACATATCTAGGTATTATAAATGATAAAGAATGCTAATATAGATATCAAATCGATATTTTTTTTTTGAAAATAGCCTACTATGATCGAAACCAAAAATGCTTAAAATTGAATTTTAAAACATATTTAGGTTTTATAAATGATAAAGAATGATAATGTAGATATAAAATCGATATTTTTTTTTGAAAATAGCCTACTATGATCGAAACCAAAAATGCTTTAAATTGAATTTTAAAACATATCTAGGTATTATAAATGATAAAGAATGCTAATATAGATATAAAATTGATATTTTTTTTTGAAAAAAGCCTACTATGATCAAAATCAAAAATGCTTTAAATTGCAATTTAAAACATATATTGGTATTACAAATGATAAAGAATGCTAATAAAGATATAAAATTGATATTTTTTTTGAAAATAGCCTACTATGATCGAAACCAAAAATGCTTTAAATTGAATTTTAAAACATATATTGGTATTATAAATGATAAAGAATGCTAATAAAGATATAAAATTGATATTTTTTTTGAAAATAGCCTACTATGATCGAAACCAAAAATGCTTTAAATTGCATTTTAAAACATATCTAGGTATTATAAATGATAAAGAACGCTAATGATGATATAAAATCGATATTTTTTTTGAAAATAGCCTACCATGATCAAAATCAAAAATGCTTTAAATTGCAATTTAAAACTTATCTAGGTATTATAAATGATAAAAAATGCTAATAAAGATATAAAATCAATATTTTCAAATTTTTTATGATCGAAATCAAAAATGCTTTAAATTGCATTTTAAAACATATCTAAGTATTATAAATGATAAATAATGCTAATATAGATATAAAATCAATATTTTTTTTGAAAATAACCTACTATGATCGAAACCAAAAATGCGTTAAATTGAATTTTAAAACATATCTAGGTATTATAAATGATAAAGAATGCTAATGTAGATATAAAATCGATATTTTTTTTTAAATTGCCTCCTATGATCAAAACCAAAAATGCTTTAAATTGCATTTTAAAACATATTTTGGTATTATAAATGATAAATAATGCTAATGTTGATATAAAATCGATATTTTTTTTGAAAATAGCCTACTATGATCGAAACCAAAAATGCTCTAAATTGAATTTTAAAACATATCTAGGTATTATAAATGGTGAAGAATGCTAATATAGATATAAAATCGATATTTTTTATTTAAAATAGCCTACTATGAGCAAAACCAAAAATGCGTTAAATTGCATTTTAAAACATATCTAGGTATTATAAATGATAAAGAATGCTAGTGTAGATATAAAATCGATATTTTTTTTTAAATTGCCTCCTATGATCAAAACCAAAAATGCTTTAAATTGCATTTTAAAACATATCTTGGTATTATAAATGATAAAGAATGCTAATATAGATATAAAATCGATTTTTTCGATTTTCAAGAGGCTATAGCAAGTCATGTTAAAGTCAAAATATAGTCATTTGGGGTATTTTTTGTAAAGCTCTTGCTGAGGACTATAAGATAGAACTCAATATAATATCTAGTTTGAAAAAAATTTTGGTGCCGCAAGAATAATAAGAAAATGACCATTTTTCCTAGGTTTTCCAACTTTGACAGCTTCAAAACTACTGAAAATTTGAGAATTTCGAAAAATGTTTTTCGATCCCCCTAATTGCTTTTGTTTTGTGATCAAATGGCAAAAGAATTATTTTCCGAGACCCTTATTGCTCGGCTGTGACCCTTGGCGTTTTGGAGGCATAGATATGATGTCCAAATGTAAAAGTTTATGTACAGAAAAATCCGGCCTCCTAATACACACATTTTGGTACCCTTTGAGATATTTGAAAATGAGTCCTTCAGGCTGTATTAAAAAAAGTGTGTTTTTCGTGAAACTAATAACTTACACGCTTTTGCGTGGAAGTTAATTCCCACAATTATTGATGTTTTGAGCCCATAAGCAAATTTTCATCATCAGTCATTAACAAGTTATTTGCAAATCAAATCTCTATGTGCAAAAACACACAAATTTCAACATGGTTTACCTTATCACAAATTTTTAGGAAAAGCTCAATCAGCATTTATAAATAATATTAATTTTTTTTTTCTTCGGTCTCGGAAAGCTTAGTGTATGCTTAATTTCTTAATTAATGACACTTGGTATAATTTTTTTTATACAATGAGTTCATTATCATGTGAAAAGAATTCTTCATTATTGAATCAGGTAAGACATGTATGTGCTTATTGTACATTTACACAGTAAATATCGTTCAATTTGCTTGATTTAATTGATATAATTTAATTTTTACAGTTTTAGTTGCTTTTTGAGCCATTTTCGTAAAAGCCAAAAATTCGTTAAAACATTAATTTACCAGTATGAATTATTAACGATGAAATCTATTTTTCAAATATTGGTCTTTTAAATTTTGAATCTTCTGAAAAAAATAAATTTGAGTCCGGTTATTTGTTTTTAAAGCTTTTAGATGATATATACTCAACAAGATTTTAGTTTTTAGTGACATTAATGCAAATGGATCTTAATTTATAGTTCAGAGTATGACTTAAAAGCAATTGGTTCTTAGATTACTGATCTACGCGAGTTTTAATTTTATTCAGTCTTTTGGTTATTTAAATCACATTTCAATATGAAAATTTCTTTATAGGTATGTATAATATAATTCATTGTGTCTTGTAAAGCGGTGCTGATGGATTTTTGTCCTTGTCATTCTTCAAATAGTCACGTGATGTGTTTGCTTGATTATACTTAAAAAATTCCACTTGCTCTGCTTCCTTCTTATCCTTTCCAAAAGGATCTCTATTTGGACAGGATTGTGTTGAATGAACTTGCGGAAATTCTTGCTGATTATTCCAATAATAGAATGAATCAAAAGGTTCTTTTGGATCTCTCGAAGACATGCTGTCTTTGCTTTATTACCTCGCTAGCTTTTTTGTCTGTACTGCTCGCAATTTTCTAGAAAAATGACCAATAATCCAATTTTTGGGACTAGATTTCTTCACTGAAACGGTTCTGTTTTTGTCGGGATGTCATAGAATAAAACAATAAACGACACAAAACTTTAGATGACTGAACAGCTACTTTATTTTTCATGTCAATTTCAAGAAAATACAGCATATATTTAATGCATGAAATTATTATGAAAATGAAGAAAAAAAAGAGTTTAGATTCTTAAAAAGTGAGAAAAATAAGAAGTAATATTTAAAGAGTTATAATTTTGTTGAATGACTTGACATAAGCTTCATGGATTTTCCGAATAAATTCAGGATCATTCTCTAAGAGATAATTTAATGCTTGCATCAATTGATTTTGCGTCAACGGTTCCAGACGAATGTTATTTGACATTCCTTGAACATTATTGAGCTGCTGTGCATTCATTATAGCCTTATCTTCAATATTTGATGCTTGGAACATTACTGGAGTGATTAATGTAGGCTTAGATGCCTGAATATTGCTCGACATTCCTGGTGTTTGTTGTTGTTGATGATGATGATGCTGCTGCTGCAATAAATTCATCGGTTCATTTCCTGAAGGCTGAAGTAAATTATTTAAAAGATTTTGGTCTTTAAGGGATAATAAAAATAAATTATTAGTATAAAATGAGACTTAAGTCAAAATCTAGGGAACTTGCCAACTCTGGGTGATTTTGATGTCACACGATGCTGTTTTTCTAATTGATCGACAGTCATTGGCGGTTGAGTGATCGGGATGCAATTAGAAGGTCCAAGATATTGAGGAGCCCCTTGCTTAGAATCGATAACTTGAATCATCCCATTTGGAGGCTGCTGTGCGGCTGCAAAAAAGCTCACAACGTTGGGAGAAGTAATATCAGGCATGACATTTGACATTTGCTTTAACAATGGCTGATGTGCCTTATTAATGTTCATTTCAGTAAATTTCTGTTCCACATTTACCACTGGTGTTGATCCGCAGCTGGTAAATTCAGCTTGAGCTTTGCTAAGCATAGAAAAAATGTCCACATCCCTTTTAATCTCGCTATTTGTTCCATTTTGCTGACTTTGACTTTGTTGTTGTTGTCGTCGTCGATTTTCTGTTGTCTCTTCAGCCTTTTCTTGCTGTTGCTGCTGCTCACTTTGACAGGGTTTCTTTGTAAGCTTATCCAAAACACCGTAAATGCGTACACAATCTTCCTTACAATAAAACCAAAATCCAGATATTGCTGATTTATGATTACGATACAGTAAAAATGGAGGATTCGACTGTAATTCGATATTTTTATTAATTGGCTCGACTAATGATGTTGTACTCAATCGATTATTAATAAAAATACTTTGAAATGGCTCAGCAACACGCGAATAAATAAAGAATGATCCTGTAAAGCAATCAAATTACTATTTATGCCATTTTTAAATGCATTTTTCGTACCTTCAATTTCTGTTTTATGCCATTCATTCGATATATACTTGTAATAAGCAACATGTGGACATGAATCCACTATCTCCTTTGCGTACGGATCGACTTTTTGCAGAGCAACTAAGTTCATTCGCAATTTTGCCGACTCTTCCATGACTTTAAATTAATTTAATAATATTTTGCAAACTTACAACTTTTTTTGTTTTTTTTTTTAAATCCTACAAATGGTTGTTCCCCTACTTCCCCTACCAGCTCTTTTTTTTGTTTTGTTCGAATTGGAACGAGAAATATTGCGAAAGAGCTGGAGGTGCTACATATTAATAGATCAAATAGTATAATTAATGATAACTTGATTCTGGGCCAAGCCTTTAAGTATTTTACAACACAAAAAAATCATCGAATAAACACGAATATAAAGATCTTATCCCCAATAAAGAATAGCGAAGAGGACAATTCAAGCAGTACTAGTGACTTAATTTTCTATACTTCTTTATTAGCAGATTCCAGAATACACAAAGCTAGTTTCTTTGAATGTGTTTAAATAATTAAATTTATAAAACATCTGAAAGCATGTTTGCACCTTTTTAAAAAATGCACTGGAGAGTGTATGTATGTGTGTTGGGTAATATAAACTTTTGGGTGATTACAAGCGATTCCGGTTTGATCAAAACATTTTTTCTTGCATGCTATTATTTCCTAGGTATGCCTCCTTCATACTGTTGCAACGATCAACATTTTATTGTTTGCAAAGTTATTTGTGCTTATTATTTTGATTATTTTGCGATAAACGAAGCCTTTTTAATTTAATTAACTTTATTTTAGACTTAGTGCCGTGAATAAGTTAAGTGATCGTGGAAAAATAATTCGAAAAGATACGAAAATTGAAATGACCTGATTTAAAATTTTAAATCAGAAACAATTAAAAAATTCCTTTCAAAATTCTCTACTTAATGCATCACATAATGCCTATTTGATAAATAATTTAATTAGTTTTATAATGCAACCACAACGACGAAAGAAAAAGAAACGTCCTGTATTGTCATATATGCGTAATATTCGAAGTGTAGAAATTCAGGCTGATGATGAAGGCAAATTTGGTTTCACTTTATCAGGTATCTACTGACTGACACTTTTTTTCTTCTCTGCTCTCCGCTACACCATCAATTTAAATTTTTAAATAAAATTATTATTTTTGATTGATCTCTTCTTGTTTTAGGTCAACAACCATGTATATTATCGTCTATTGTGAAAAATTCTCCTGCTGATTTGGCGGGCGTTAAGAGTGGTGATTTTTTAATATCAGTCAATGGCAAGAGTGTGTGGCATAAAAACCACGAAGAAATTGTCGAGATTATCGGAACATCAGAGTATCAAATAAGAATAACTATAGCTGATAATTACTTCTCTGACAGCTCTGATGAAGAAGATGCATCTCAGTTTCGATTCCGTCCAAAATATCCATACAGTAAAACGAGAACGAATCGAGTACAGACACAAATGAGTAGCTATGAAAATCCACATTCACGAATTCCACCTAGATTTCATACTCATCCTCCCTTACCGCATATCCAACAAAATAATATGCGTAGTAATGGATTTGACATTGCAAATGTCAGTGCTGTTCTCAAAAATCAACAAATCTCATGCAATTCATCCGCCCCGACATCGACAGCAATGATGATTAATAATTGCACGGAGATAGTCTCATTTGTCGTTGGATATCTTGGAACGATAGAAATGCCAAAACAAATTGCTACATCATCAAAACTACAAACTGTCAGAAGTTGCATCCGTAAAATGAGACAAGAGAAACGATCACCGACCCTAGTTTTAATGAATATCCTACCAAATTCCCTGAACTTACTTAACAGTAATAATGTAATACTTGCCGCATATCCATCCAATCGACTCAACTATATCAGTTCTAGTTCAGATAATAATAGTAAATTTTTCGGTCTCGTCACCTCCGCAAAATTTCATGAAGATGATTCACACTTTGACTCTTACGACTCACTTCAGTTACGCCAAGCTGAAGTTGCCATATCTAATAGCTGCCATGTATTTGGAATTGAAACGAAATTAATTGATCACAATGCTCATATTGTCACCGCTGAAAAGTTTAAAATTAAGTGCACTAAAGATCTTATATCAAACTCCTGTCTCGAATTTCCCACAACGTCTGACTACATTTGTAGCATTATTAAAAGCATGTATAATATAAAATCAGCAGAACAAACAGGGGATCATCGTTCGATGGCCATGAAATTTAATCAAATTCAAAGGAGAAGTAATAACTTTCATGATCCCCACGAACTCCTTTTACCCAACTCTCCGCATCCAAGTAATCACAGTGAAATAACAACATCCAGTAATTCAGACAGCGGAATTGGATTTCATAATGATCTGACAAATATTTCCGATAGAATTTTAGTTGTAGACTTTCCTAATGCAATTGATATCCATAATAAGCACTTAAATCTCCACAGACAGAGAAAATTAAGACCTTTAGGAATCGTCAATGATCATCAACTAGAAGAAAATTCGATAAGGAATATTAGAAGTTTTCAGCCACAACAATCACAGCCAGTTTTACGTGTTGACAACATGAACATATATCATGCTAAATCAAAATCAGCAGATTACAATTATGAGAATATTGAAAAATTGGCAGTGCGAGCAATGCCCCTAAGAAACATACAAAATGAAATTCAAAACGATTATGAAGATATTCATCCAAAAGCAGTCACTGATGTCTGGTATGACGGTGAAATGTTGGATGAAGATGGAAATGAAATTCATGAACGTGCTATTGATGTGTCTACGTCAAAAAGTTCAACCGATTTGCAGAATATTATGATTAGATCTTGTGATGATATTTTAATGATAATGGATAAGGAAGATGCAAGATATCGAAAAGAAGACACAAGTGATAAAAAACTTGTTGAAGAAGAAAGTCAAATTGCAAAGGCTAAAAATGATGATCATGTATTTTTGGTGCCGCCACTTCGAAACCAAAAGAAATGTAATAACAATAAGAGATCTTTAACATTACTCGGTAAATCCAAGTCATCACATGACGATTCAAAGTCAAAGCACGAGAGCAATCTCAAACACTACAAATTAAGTCCAAAAGTATTTGGTTTGGCTCGTCCGGTCTCAATAAGCTTTGAAAATGTATCTTATTCCTCGTCCAAGAGAAAGAGCTTATTCGGACATAAGAAGAATGAAAGTAAAACTGAAGAAGAGGAATTCTCCATTTGGGGAAGTCTTCAAGAGCTGAGAAATTGTGAGAATGATAAAAAACAGCAGCAGTTTACCAATTTTTTAGAAGGAACATACAGTGAACCGAATTTAAGTTACGATGAAGTAAGTCAAGTGCATTTAAATTTTAAATACAGTTATGAAATCAAAGTCGTTTAATTTTTTTTTTCTCACTCACGATACACCTGTTGCATGTTGTGCTACTTTTTATTGAGAAAATACGTTCACTTTGGGATGCTCGTTGATGTTTAGTTTAACATCTTTGTAGACGTTTATTAAATTTTTTAAGGGAAATAAATTAAAATTTCTAAATAGGTTTGGACTGAATTTTTGATAAAATTAATATATCATAAGGAAATGGACGGTTCTTTTGCAATTTCAAGCACGTGTAGCAAAATATCGCACAGCAAATTAGATAATTTGATAATTTTAATTCTCAATTGACTTTCAACTTGCCACGTTTGTATGTCTTTTTGGTCATATATAAGACTATGAGAGTCAAAGATTTAGAATTTCAAGAATTAAAAAAATCCCAAATATCCAAATCCCAAAGCCTCAAGTATTTCTGCAAATCCAAGATTTCATAAAATAAATAAAAGCCGGTATAAAATGTTCCGAAAATGTAAATTTGTTATACATTTTTAAGAGAATATAAAAGTTGCAACTTAAAATGAAACCATAAAAAAACTATTTTATTCAAGAAGTATTACAAATTTTGTTAAAATTATTCACTTACGATAGCTAGTTGTTTCTGTGTTGATATTTAACTACCAAAAAGTGCAAGTGACGTAAAATTTCATAAAACTTTTAACTTTAATCTCTAATTTAAATTTTTCTGAAATGAATTGTATTTATTGCTATATTTGATCATGCCAATCAACATTTTTATCAATAAAATGTTTGACATATAGAGATGTATTAATAATTTTTCGTTAACAAAAGCATGAGTAATTACCGAAATTACAATTAAACTCAAAAAAAAAAAAACTAGTTATTTTAGTCTAAAAGTAAAATTTATTGTAATAAAAGTTTAAGTTAAAAGTTAAATATTTAGAGCCGAAGCCATAGTTTAGAGAGCCAAAGTTAGCTTTATTTTTGAATTAGCATTTTGGGATTGATGGGGGAAAACTTATGTACTTCGACTACCCCAGATTCAATCAAAAACGCCAAATTCGTAATTACTTGGGATTTATACTTGACACCCCTTTATGAGACCGTTCTTTTCATTCCATCATCATTATTCAGCATCTTATTCGTAATATTAATGACGATGATCAAGAAAAAGTGAAATTTTTTTTGCTATCATTTATCTCTCTTGTGTATTCGTTCATCTTTTAAGAGTTGAATAAATAAATTAAGCCCCTTCCTCTCTCTCACACACATACAAACAATTTATTTCAATTAAGGCACCACGAGATGCTTTAAGCATGTTAAGTGAAAGAGATGAATTGAAATAAATTAGATTTCATTTATTTCTAATAAAACTCGAAAACGATTATCGTCTCGGAAGTGGCTACCGTAATTGTTATTTTATTAGAATCACAAATTAAATATTTGTTTAGTGTTGGTTTTCCTTATTGCATCTCAAATGAACTTAAAAAATTTCAACAATGCTAAATGACCTCATCCAATTGAGAGGCAGAAAACATGTCTCTGATGACGTCGATAGAAAATTCGGAATTATTATTCGTAACAAATGATTATGACTGGTGACTCTGACGTCGTCAGAAAAATGTTTGTAGAGCCTTCATTATCTTATCGGACGTTTACAAAAAGTTGTGATAACTGATTGAATTGTGATAGCATTGTGAAATTATTTTTTGTTGTTAGAAGAAGTTCAGCTAAAGACGGAAATAGACAAAAACATAATATTTCAAAATCTTAAATCAAGGAGAACAGAACAAGACAAAAGAAATTTATCGATTGCAAAAGATGAATATTTAAGAGGATTATTCATTATTTAAAAAAAAAAGAATAGTGCTAAAGAAAAAGAAATATGCAAATATGCTTTTGTGATTAGTTTGTGGATTTACAATATCCTTACCTGACCAGTTACTCATGGTAAGATAATGTTAAAAAAAAATTGTTTAAGGAGCCGTTTAATTTTGATGTCTAACGACCAATAAGGAGTAATTAAAAGTACTTGTTCACTTACATCAATCCTTGTGAAGAATTATAGATATCTTTCATCAATTACCCCAACAGCTCTTTAAAAATATTAGGATTACTTTATTGCAGGTGCATGACTGCAGTAAAGTATTTTATTTATCTACATTCACAATTTGAATGGACAAAGACAAGCGAAAAAAAGATATATGTGTGTAGGGTCTTTAAAAAAGTCTTACGTTATTCTATTGTTTTAATATTTCGAGGGGGGGAGAAAGTCAGTTTTTTTCCGAAATGAAAATTATCATAGCAGGTTGTATTTCTTGATATGGTTGAGATATTCTGAATTCAATGAATGTGAACAGTTGAAAAAATGTGTGGGAATGGGAAATTCATAAACAGCTGACGCGAATTGTTCTTTCTTCTCGTACTAATTTCGACATAATGTGAATAGGAATGTCTGTACAAAAGAATTTTATTTGTTCTTGTGGAAAAATGGATGTGCACTTTGTTTTACGCATACACAAATACACACAAACATGACATGACTTTAGGCATAAATAGTAAAAATAAACGACTTAGAATGAGACCAAAGAGAGAATTTTTTTCCTTATTTTATTTTTAAAAATTTTGCTTCGAGGTAGTTTTGAGTAATCACTTGACCAAAGCAGACAAGTGCGGTCGTGCTAAAAATAAATTAAAGTGATGGAGGGACAAAAGAAAATTAACTCAGTTTCGTGTGAATTCAGAAACATACTAAGGAACTGCAATGATTCATCATTAGACCAATTAGAGTTTTGCTCATTAGAATCAAATTGTTTAATGATGAATACAAAAAGTCAAAATACAATTAAAGATAGCAGTTACGGTGAAGCTATTAAAGCATTCGTGAAGAAAATTAACGATCGCAACAATAAATCAATAGACGAGAATAATATATTTAGTAAAGTCGCTTCATCGACGCCCTTTAAAAAATGTGATAATAGAAATTCCTTCAATATATCTGGCATAAATAATCTGGAACTAACAAGTGTGCAAAAAAGAATTGGGAAATCGGATTTATTAAATGATTCTGACTTTGAATCTATGGATCAAGATCAATATGATGACGATGAGAATTCAAAAGAAAATGTCAATCTTAATAGTACGATTGATAAAAGGAATGTCGATGAAATTGTTAAAATGATTCAGATCAAAAAGCTTCTCGTGACTTCCTCGAAATCAAAAAGGTCTTTCTTTTTATCAATTGAGAAATCCAGGAAGTGTACATCGCCATATAAAGGAAGAAAAAATAAACTAAAGAAACTGAAACAAATTAAAAATTGCTCGCAGACGTACCTCAAGTACGAACAGTCTTTCTATGATGATCATTCACTAGCTAATATTATAACCACCGATTCAATCAAAGGAATTGAAAATGAACATCAATTAAGTACATCAAATAAAAGCGAAAATGATGATTTTACAGATTTCGCATTCACACAACCCAACAAGACAGAATCGTTTGAAGCATATATTAAAAATTTAACTCAACTCTCGTCTGTAAGTAATTTTTTAACGACATAGTCATTTATTAAACGGATTTTAAAGAGACATAAAAGAGATGTGTATAGATGTTGTGAAAGAACGAAATTCATGCGAAAATATTAAACAAATGAATGTGGTGCACCGGAAGTATCTGAAAAAATTAAATCAAAAGGTCCCTTTACACTTAATTCCGTTTCCTTTTCACTCTTATTTATAGCACAATACATACTTTTAGCTGCTAATTCTATTAAAACCATAAAAAGCATACCACTTTGTCAAAAATATGATTTCATTTGAATGTTACTTTTTCTGATCGTAAGAGACTTATCGCAGCTGTTTAATGAAGGTTTCTCAAGATAGCTTAAAACAGAAGCTTCAGTTAAATTTTTGTAAAAATATAAAGGGCATTAGTATAAAACAGTAATCTCTGTAGTAAGTAGTTATCGGCTTTCAATCTCTGTCTGCCTTTTATATATTACATGTGATTACCTGAAGTATGTTAAGACACGTGATTTTCAACAATTTGGTCTGACAAATGAGACGTATTAAATATAATGTGTTTCTTATTCATTTTCTGCTCCTGTCACATAGCTTTCATGATATAGCACTCGATTTTATTAATTGGATATTTGTTTCAAGGTTAGAATATTATATATATTATTTTCAACGATATGTAGCCGATATGTAAGTAGTATCGGCTTCATATCGTTGAAAATAATTCCAACTAAAGTGTTTGAAATCGTACATTCGGGGTAATAAAATTACATTCGATCCGTATCAAGCGTTTATGCCTTAGTGATTCGAATAAAAATCCTAACTTACTCTTCTATCATTATTAAGTTGTAAAATTGCCGATGTTCTTTTCAGTGCATTGAAACATAATTTCCTTTAAAAAAGGGGAAAAATTAAATAAATACGTTAAATCATTATGTAGGCAAAATTAACAAATAAATACAATGAACAATGAATAGAACATAAAAAGGCATGATTGTACATGCATAATTAATACGACAGGAACAAGATGAAGAAATCTTTCACAGACAATTTTAATTCATTTTAATACATGCCGTATGTGATTTGGACACAGTGATGTTCTTCATTAATTAAAGAAATAATGCTGCTCATTATGCATAAGTTAATTATTTGAGGTTTCTATTTTCAATTCTGACCGTTCATTCTCTCCGTTCATAATCATAATTTTTGTATAAAAAAACAGCTAGTGTTATTATTGTTTATATTGTATATGTCAAACTAGCATGTGAGTAAAGCTAACTTAGTTTTTACATAGTTTGAGAAGAAATAAAGGGGAGAAAAACATGAAAACTAAGCAACATTGCCGACACATCAGTTTAGACGAACAAGAAGGAGAAAGAGTGCAAAGTGAGATTATGAGAAATGAGAAAAACGAGAGAGAGAGAAAACGAGAATGAGAATGTACAGAAAAATGTTCAACAAGTGGGAAACTACAAAAA